GGCATGGTGCAACTGGCTAGTATACTATGTGCCCTGAAAGGCCACTTGTTTATTTTTCCCATCATCAGCCCAGATTAGATGGTATTACTTGTCCCAAGGTATGTGTGTCTGAGGGCATTTCTGAGAGCAATTCTTCTTAACAATGAGCATCTGTGTTGCAGTGAAGGTGTTAGTTATGTTACCTCTGGAAAGAGCTGGAAAGGAAATGACTTATTCTGACTTAAATACACATTCATGCATCTCACCCAGTAGTAGCCAAGAACACTGCAGAAGCTCTAAGTACAAAGTGGAGGTCTGTCAAGCCCACCTGTTGCAGGTTGGGTTCACCAGAAAGTGATTCTGAGAAGTAATTTGTGAATGTAAAATGCTTATTAGAGATCAACACCTGTAAAGGGAAGAGGTAGGCAGTGAAACTGGGTACAGGAAGAACGTGAACCACCATGTAGTCTCTATGAAGCCTCAGCCAGAGTGGCAGGAAGCTTTGGAGCAAATTTTGCCCATCAGAGTTGCCTGTGTACAGCTAAACTACCCCTGCCTTGTTCAGTCACTGGATTTGAGCTGTTCTGGGAAAGGCAATTCCCCTGCACCTAAGGCAGACTCTGATGTAACTGACAGCTGGAGGCTACCGGCTGACTGTGCTTTTTGCTTTTTTTCTTCCTTATTATTATAGTGGTAGAGAGAAGACTTTATTTTTTCTCATTCCAAGAATATATATGCATGCTGTTTTTTGTTGTTATGCAAATGTTTATTGCTTTTGTTACATTCTGCATGTTGGGGAGGATTGCAGATTGCCTATTTTCCACTAAAGGGAAAATAAAGAATTTGAGTCACAGTAAATGTACAAAACAGTTTGTTAAAATTGGAAAGAGTATTTTGGTTTCCTCATCTTTGTTTTCAAATAAATAAGTATATTGTCTCACAACTGGTTGTCCAGGGAACCCAAATTAATGTAATTGTGTGCAGCATGTTGTCCAGGTCTTGATGCCTGGGAATCCTTTTGTTGATTGAATGAGAGAAAGAAACAGTGGGTGAAAGGTTACAAAAGCTTGTGTTAATTAAGATATATCCCCTACTGGTAGAAGATTATGGTCAGACATTATCACATCATTAGTCAGCTCATCAAAATATCACTTTGCAGAAAATCCTCTGGTTCTTTTCAGTGGCTTTAATGAAATTGTTCTAAGAAGGCCTGTGAAAGGACTGAGCTCTAGTTTTTGGATAACTGCCATTTTCTTAAGAAACAGACTTTGGGCCTACTGAGAAAGCAGATCAGCTGGTGTGACATTTTACTCTAAGAAAAGGAGAATTATTTAAAAATTTTTGCTATTTAACAAGGGAAACATCAATTTATTTTGGTCTTTTCCTTAGCATCAGATAAAGAATGGGATGCTAATAGCTGAAATTTAGGAGACTAAAGAAGGATTAATGTAAGCATTTGAAACAATTTTTCATTTACTTGGACTTTTCTAAGGATAATTTTTATCATTTATTTTTATTCTCATAAAGAAAAAATAAGCAATCATTATACTTTTACGGGAAAAAGTTAATTATTCTCATTTAGGAATTTATACATATGGTATAAAAATGGAAAATTTAAAAAGGACAGTTTTAAGGTACTGTGTATATTTTCTGTTTGTGTATATGTGAACTTTTTTTTTTGACAGTCGCGCTAGCTACTCAAGAGTCTTCGTGTTCACTTGGTATTCCTTGCATTTATGATACTCAGATTAAAGGATGCTCCAGATGTAGAAATACTGATTATAGATTTCATAGTTTTGGGTAGCTTAATAAATGATCTCTTATATGCTACTTTTGCTGTGTGTGTAGAGGGTGGGTTTTTTTTTTTTTTTTTAGTCCTATCAGTATAATGTCATCTCTAGAGATTTTCTTCCAGATTTACAATCAAATGAGTTTTATGATTATATAAATAAGGATAATCTGTAGCAGTATTATATTATGGTTATTTTTATTAATAATTCTGATTTTTCTTTGCATTTAAATCAGTTTGGGAAACATTCAGTAAAACTTTAACTTATATTAATTTTCAGCACCCAAGGATATATCATCTTTAATATAGCTGTTTGATTGAACAGTTCTTTACTTGATGTGTAAAGTTCGTATTTGCTGTTGGGTTTTGCTTTTATTTTTCAAGACCCATTTTAGGAAAGGCATAAATGGGGGGCAAAAGAAGGAAAAAGAGAAACACTGCAAATCACTCATTTAATGGAATGCTACATAAATTGGGAAGTAGACTGAAAAGCATGGGTCATGTCATCAGAAAAATTTACTAGTCATTCATTGAGATAATCATTAATTTTGTTGATGAAAAATAGCAGCATATGGGCTTCCCTGTTGGCGCAGTGGTTGAGAGTCCGCCTGCCGATACAGGGGACACGGGTTCGTGCCCCGTTCCAGGAAGATCCCACGTGCCGCGGAACGGCTGGGCCCATGAGCCATGGCCTCTGAGCCTGTGCGTCTGGAGCCTGTGCTCCGCAACGGGAGAGGCCACAGCAGTGAGAGGCCCACGTACCACAAATAAATAAATAAATAAAAATAGCAGCATATCAGTTAATAATAGAATTTAATTTTAAAAAATATGAACTCAAATTAAAGAGTAAGTGTGCCTAAAGGAGAAAAAAGTAAAGTATGCTTTCTTGGATTTGTGGACTGTAGGGTACAGCCACCTCTGAATTTTCTTAGTTTCTCTCCAAGTGTATTGTTAAGAACTGTCAGAGTGGTGAAAACAAAATGCAGAGTAGAGGTCAGCTAAACATCTGATTCGATCTATTTTAATAAATATGAGGATAAAGTCCACATCCTGTTTCTCAGCCATACTTGTTAACCACTGGACTCACAAATGTTTAACGTCTGGCTATTCAGTAGCCTGGAAAGGGTGAGTCATCATCAAGTGTAGATTTTCAGTATTTTGTGGAAATTGCTCACCTTTTGTTAGTGATGGATTTACTGCAGTGCAGCGTTTCAGCTTTGTACTCTGTTCTCAGCCTGATGGTGTGACTCTGTCCAGGCTAGAGTACAGGTCCCCTGGCTTTTTATGGTTGATCGATGATGACCAGTGGGGCTCTTCTAAAAGGCATTAAGATTAACCTAGGCAAACAGTTTTCTGTATCCAGTAAAAATGGAAATCGGAAATAGTCTTTCAACAAATATTTATCTAACACCTTAATATGTATCAGATAGTGTTCTGCATCCTGGTGGCACAATACCCATCTACTAGGAGGAGGGGGAGGGGTGGGTAGACAAATGTATATAACAGTAAAAATGTAATACGATAGATTCCATGAGAGCATAGCACAGAGTGTACTAGGAGTACCCAGCAGGGCCATCTAGTCCAGATTTGGCAGGAAGAAAGAAAGAAAGAGGAGGGATCAAGGAAGCCTTCCCTAGGGATGACTCTAGAGATAGTGACTATCTAATCCTAGAAATGTGGGATCAGTATTAGAGTGATAGATGACTCTATCAGTGCAGATAGCTTTTCGTTATAACTATTTCTGAGGGAGAACTGAGGATTCTTCCTTTCTCCACACTTCTTTTTATCCTTCTTTTCTGTTTCCTGTCTCACTTCCTACCACCCTGTCTCTTTCTCTTCCTCTTTCTTTTCCTCCCTTTCTCCCTCTTTCCTTCGTTATGAATTCATGAATACAGAATTGTATTAATCAGATTCTTGGTTCATGACCCACTGTCATCATTGGACAATTTCTGGCTCTCATTCATTCATTCACTGATTTATGATGCTATAATGAATACATATGACTTTATTAACAATTTCTTTCACCTGCCTTTTTGCTTTCCTCCTATTTCATCCCCTCTCTCCTTCTAAAAGGTAACCATTGTCCCGAATTGTGTATATCATCCCTTTTTGCACTGGTTTTCTTTGTTTCATATATAACATACCCAAATAACACATTGCTTAGTTAGTTTTTAACTCAACAAAAAATAATATTCTTCCATATGTAATATGCTGGTATTTTTTTCACTCAACATCATACTAATATGATTCACTGTGTTTTTATTTGTAACTGAATTCATTGTTTCACTTCAATGAATATTCTATTGTGTGAATATACCACAAATTATCCATTCTCCTGTTCCTAGGCAGTTGAGTTGTTTACATTTATGTTGTTCTGACAAGTGCTGCTATGAAAATTCTATTTCTTCTGCCTGAGACATATTTGAAAGTTTCTGCAGAGTATGTACCTAGCGAAGGAAATATTGGCTCATAGGGTATGCAAAAGTTAAACTTAAAAGATAATACGGGGGCTTCCCTGGTGGCGCAGTGCTTGAGAGTCCGCCTGCCGATGCAGGAGACGCGGGTTCGTGCCCCGTTTCGGGAAGATCCCACGTGCCGCGGAGCGGCTGGGCCCGTGAGCCATGGCCGCTGAGCCTGCGCGTCCGGAGCCTGTGCTCCGCAAATGGGAGAGGCCACAACAGTGAGAGGCCCGCATAACGCAAGAAAAAAAAAAAAAAAAAAAAGATAATACGGAATTGTTTTCCAAAGCTATTGCACCAACTTGCATTTCCACCAGAATTATATAAGAACTTATGTTGATACAGTCCTAACACTTGGTCTTGTGAGATTAATTTCTGTCAATTGAATGCCACATAATGTGAATGCTGTCTCATGGTGTGTGGTTTTAATTCTCATTTCCCAGGTTACTAATGAGTTTGTGCATCTCAGGATATTTATTGGTCATATATGTTTCCTCTAACCTTTCAATTATAAGATTTTAGTATTAGTTTATACTCATGAATACTTGCTATTTTTATATATGCAGTTGTTATGACATCTTAATTAGAAAAATATGCATAGTCATTAAAGTGAAATAAAAACCTATTTTGGTAGTACATACAATGGTGGGTAAATTTCTAATACAAGATATGCAGTCAAAATAGTTAACAAATTAAAAGAATAGGAAATAATTCTATTTTGAAATTCTTTTATGACTGTTTTCATAGCCTGTTGTTTATTTTTCTTTTGACAGAACGATTTCGAGATTTACTGCTTCCTCCATCTAGTCAAGACTCCGAGATTCTGCCCTTCATTCAAGCTAGAAATTATCCCACGTAAGCAATAGGAGCTCCCTAGGTATTGTGAAGGGAATGGGCATAATGATGGGCGAGCTTTGAGAGGGCAAGGAAAAAATGTTTCCATTTTAGGATTTCTGAAAAGGCCTGGAAAAGCCTAACCTAACTAGCTAGAGCATCTCCTGCACCATAATGTCTCAGGCTCTGTACAGCTAATCCCTCATCTGGTTTCCTGTTTTCTATCCTTTAAATGTAAGGATTCAGGGCTTCCCTGGTGGCGCAGTGCTTGAGAGTCCGCCTGCCGTTGCAGGAGACGCGGGTTCGTGCCCCGTTTCGGGAAGATCCCACATGCCGCGGAGCGGCTGGGCCCGTGAGCCATGGCCGCTGAGCCTGCGCGTCCGGAGCCTGTGCTCCGCAAATGGGAGAGGCCACAACAGTGAGAGGCCCGCATAACGCAAGAAAAAAAGAAAAAAAAAAATGGAGGAGTAAAGTGCGTAGCTGCTAAGTGGAAAGGAAAGCAGTTCTTCTGTCTTGCCCTTGTCAAGGTTTAGGAAAACAATCTATTATTTTTGAGAGCTGTTTTTTTCTTTTCTCCTGGCACCTAAACCATGGAAAATGAAAGCAGACTCTCAACCACTGCACCACCAGGGAAGCCATATTTTTTTAACATCTTTATTGGAGTATAATTGCTTTACAATGATGTGTTAGTTTCTGTTTTATAACAAAGTGAATCAGTTATGCGTATATACATATACATATATCCCCATATCTCTTCCCTCTTGTGTCTCCCTCCCTTCCACCCTCCCTATCCCACCCCTCTAGGTGGTCACAAAGCACCGAGCTGATCTCCCTGTGCTATGCGGCTGCTTCCCACTAGCTAGCTACTTTACATTTGGTAGTGTATATATGTCCATGCCACTCTATCACTTTGTCCCAGCTTACCCTTCCCCCTACCCATATCCTCAAGTCTATTTTCTAGTAGGTCTGCGTCTTTATTCCCGTCTTGCCCCTAGGTTCTTCATTATCATTTTTTTTTTTTTTTTTTAGATTCCATGTATATGTGTTAGCATATGGTATTCGTTTTTTCTCTTTCTGACTTCACTCTGTATGACAGACTCTAAGTCCATTCGCCTCACTACAAATAACTCAATTTCGTTTCTTTTTATGGCTGAGTAATATTCCATTGTATATATGTGCCACATCTTCTTTATCTGTTCATCTGTTGATGGACACTTAGGTTGCTTCCATGTCCTGGCTATTGTAAATATAGCTGCAATGAACATTGTGGTACATGACTCTTTTTGAATTATGGGTTTCTCAGGGTATACACTCAGTAGTGGGACTGCTGGGTCATGTGGTAGTTCTATTTTTAGTTTTTTAAGGAACCTCCATACTGTTCTCCATAGTGGCTGTATCAACAGTGCAAGAGGGTTCCCTTTTCTCCACACCCTCTCCAGCATTTATTGTTTGTAGATTTTTTGATGATGGCCATTCTGACCGTTGTGAGATGGTATCTCATTGTAGTTTTGATTTGCATTTCTCTGATGATTAATGATGTTGAGCATTCTTTCACTTGTTTGTTGGCAATCTGTATATCTTCTCTGGAGAAATGTCTGTTTACGTCTTCTGCCCATGTTTGGGTTGGGTCGTTTGATTTTTTGATATTGAGCTACATGAGCTGCTTGTAAATTTTGGAGATTAATCCTTTGTCAGTTGCTTCATTTGCAAATATTTTCTCCCATTCTGAGGGCTGTCTTTTGGTCTTGTTTATGGTTTCCTTTGCTGTACAAAAGCTTTGAAGCTTCATTCGGTCCCATTTGTTTATTTTTGTTTTTATTTCCACTTCTCTAGGAGGTGGGTCAAAAAGGATCTTGCTGTGATTTATGTCATAGAGTGTTCTGCCTATGTTAATAAGTGGTTTTCAAAATAACCACATGCTAGATATGATTTTAGGAATTTATTCTTCTTTACCATCTTGATAATTCTTTCTTAAATGGGATAGACTTTTTCTTAGATGCCACAAGTGTATTAATTGGTTGAAGCTATGTGCCTCATCTTCCCAGAGAATAAGGAAGTACCAGGTTTTTATTAGGTATTCTTTTCCCTAAAAGCTGATGTATGCTGGTGTCTTGATCCTTCCTGTGGAAGCTTGGAGTACCCTCTACTTTTTCAGTAATGTGACTCTCTTTACTAGCTAATATGCAACAGGCTAGAGAATGAATAAACCATTATCTGAAATAGAAAAAACGGTCACCAAATTAAAGAATGAGAGCTTGGTTTACACATATTTAATCAAAACTCATCATGGTGCTGAATGATTCATTCTTTGATCAGTTTGGCAGTTTATTCAAGTATTTACTGAACTTCACCTGAGTTAGTTTTTCGCTGATTTCATAGCTATGATAATATTTACTTAATTCTGGTCACAAAATACATACATAATCTGAATTATCTGTTCATTGTTTCAGATATTAATCCAGGTTTAATCTCTAGCAATAATCTTCCAATCTCCTCCCAGTACTCACAGGGACATACACGTGCCTGGAGAAGCCTTGCATGCGTACATTACTCATGTTCATGTTGGCAGGGAGCATGGAGGTGCCTGAAGAGAGCCATGCATGTCTATCAGTATTTTTGCCCACAGCTGCTATTTGCAGGGGCCAGTGATAGTTGCTTTCCTGCCTCTTAGGCTTACTGTCTGACTGACACCATCGTTTAAAGGAGACTTACAATGGTTTGTCAACTGGTAGTCTGTCTGCCGTTGTTTCCCTAGGTTTCCTTAGCTGTATCATTTCACAAGTATCCTTCTTGTTCTTAGATTTCTTTTCTGAGAGTGATGTGATCCATTCTAATATTTAACAGACATCATGTGACAATCCTTTGTCAGTGGCTGACCCTTGGAGCAGATATACTTTTTGACATCTGCAGATTAAAGAAATAAAAATCATCCACTGATGCCACACACACCGTATTACGGCAGTTAAGTGTGCAGACTCTGAAGCAGATTGCCTTCCCTGATGACTTGGTGACCTGGGTGACCTAACCCTCTGTGCCTCAGTTCCACCTGTGTGAAAGGAGGAAGATAATAATACTTACCACTCAAGCATGATACAAAGATTAAATGAAGTAACAAAAAAATATTTTGAACTGAGCCTGACACAGTAAATACTGCATTTTAGCTGCAGATGTTATTTATTGCTATTCATTTAAAATTGCATCTAGAATTAACTAGATTTGCATGTTTCCAAACACCATAGGAAATAGGTTGTTCATTTATCTTGCAGGATAGCTTTTATGTCAAGATACTTTCATCAACCCACCCTTATTAATATTTAGGGAAGTGCTATTTATTCAATATTTCTAAATTACTGCGAGATGCTGATGTGAGGCACCGCTTAGGTGACCACTTAACATCTTTATGAGCTTCAGTTTTCTGAACTGTCAAATGAAAATCTGCTAATTAAAGGTTTCTGGGGCTGAAAGTATTTACATAAAATTCTGGATTAAATACAATTAGTTTATTTAAGTTACAGAATATTAAACATTTTCATCTTCCCATAGCTGATTTAATGTCGAGTTTGGCAGAATTTTTTTTTTTTTTTTTTTTTTTTTTT